CTGGGTTCCCCGCCGCCGATATGGGTTCCGCCGACGCGTCGCTCTCCTCGTGGGCCTCGGCTTAGTGGTCTGGACAATGCTCCAGGTCCTCGCAATTCACCACCGTATCGCCCTCGTGGATGTCCGCCCTCCTCCCCCCCTACCCTCCGACCGTATTTTCATCGCCAGCACTCATTGGAACAACGAGCGTATCCTCCGAAGCCATTGGAACGACGCCGTCGTTGACCTGGTCAAAACCCTTGGGGCCGAGAACGTCTTTGTGAGCGTGTTGGAAAGTGGTAGCTGGGATGACACCAAGGGAGCCCTTCGCGAGCTGGATACAAGACTAGATCGACTTGGTGTGCGACGCAACATCACTCTGTCCGATATAACACATCAGGATGAAATCTCTGCTCCGCCCGGGCGTGATGGTTGGATCAAGACCCCGCGGGGACGGACAGAGCTTCGACGCATTCCATACTTGGCTCGGCTACGCAATTGGACCTTGCAACCACTGGAAGACTTAGCCCGAGAGGGAATTACCTTTGATAAAGTGCTTTTCCTGAATGATGTCGTGTTCACGGTATGATCAACTTTAATACTTGCAGAAACCAAAAGATTTGTGACTAATGGGTGAGGCTTCTAGGCCGACGATGTAGCGACCCTGCTAGATACCAATGACGGGGTCTATGGGGCTGCTTGCTCCCTGGATTTCTCCAAACCTCCTTTATACTACGACACTTTTGCCCTGCGTGACTCCCAAGGTGATGAACACGTCATGCAGACCTGGCCATACTTCCGCTCTGCCAGCTCGCGCAGAGCCCTCATCAACATGGAGCCAGTCCCAGTCAAAAGCTGCTGGAACGGAATGGGTAGGTGGCTTAGATGTTCCTGGTGTGCCTCAAAACTGACCCTTATAGTGGTAATGCCCGCCGCGCCCTTTGTATCCTATCCACCACTGCGATTCCGTGCGGTTCCCGACTCCCTTTCGCTATCCCACCTTGAAGGCTCAGAGTGCTGCCTGATCCACGCGGACAACCCTTTGTCACAACTCCACGGGGTTTACCTTAATCCCCAGGTCCGCGTAGGGTATAATCCAGAAGCGTATGCTGCGGTGCATCCGATCCGGGCGTGGCTGTCCTTGCAAAATCTTGCCGTGGCTCTGTGGGAGAATCGGTTTCTACGCTGGACGACCTCTTCCTATTTCAAGATGCAAGTCGTTCGCAGTCGTGTCATGAAGTGGGAGAAAGATCATCCTCAGCAGCAAGAAAGCGGTGACTTTTGCTTGATCAATGAAATGCAAGTTCTGGTTGCTAACGGTTGGGCGCATGTCTGAGTTTGCAGCAACATATGCTCCACTTCAATTGAGCAAGAGCTCGCAAATCCATCCAGCCCCAGCTATTGTGACGAATATGAGCTTAGCATGTTGCATGAGCTTGAAGTTTGGGCCCCTCGGCAATAGCCACGCCCTTACTACAGAGATTCGATGATCGGCTGCATTTTGGCTCATCCATATATCTGGAAGGATCGCCAAAGGTATTTGTCGCCTATGTCTTTGAGAAGACAGCTGCTTTGAGTCAATGCCCAATATCGAATTACCAGTCCACGAATTTGTGTCATATCTCGTCCCGCTCACGCCGTTGGTAATTACGGGCTTGAAAGGGCGGTGTACGCTGCTGGACAGCGCAAACATTGCCAACCCTTTATGCGGATCTACTTTCTTCCACCGAATCACAATTAAGCATTTCGTGCCTCAGCGAGGAGGCAAGATGGGGCCTTTGGTTCAATTATTTCCAATTTCAAGCTGAAAGCTACACGAACTTTAACATTAATCCAACAAAAACATCGCTTCAATCAAATCTCAGATGCATCAAGACCAATCGCTTCAAACATGATGAAACCCCTTCCGGTCCCAGAAAGAAATAAACCTCTTCAACAAGTGCGCGTCAAATGGTCGAAACTTGATCTCTGCATTCTCACTGAGAGCCTTAAGTGCATTGTCGCATCGATAGACCGGACTGTATTGGCTAGCTTCCCATCGCGTTAACTGTCCCAACACTCGCTCCTGGAACAATGGCATCAACGGCGTCAATAACCCGTCTGCATCGCTGTGGGTCACCCTCTCAACCCACTGTTCAAAATCGAGTAGTTCGAGGGGATAGCCTGCCTCCTTGAGCACGTCGCAGGTTTGTTCGACCGTGACAGATTTGCTGACATCCGGTGACAGCAGGCTGTAGGAGCGACCCAGATTCTCATTGCGGGTCGCAATAGCCATCATTGCGTCAACCACGTAGTCGACTGTCACGTACTCCAGACGTTGATCCACCACTCGGGGAAAGGCACCGATCTTGATGGAGCCTATCAATAGGCGGGCCACGAAATCATCAGGGTTCATGGCTCCTGTCTGGCTGTGGCCAACAACAAAACCTGGCCGGTAGATGGCCACCGGCAAGCCACGGTCCCTCATCCGGCGCACCATCGCCTCCGCTGTCCACTGGCTCTGCGCATAACCCAGGTCATACCGAAGGCCCTGAATGTGTGGCTGAAGGGGATCGTCCTCGTAGATCTCTTCTGTTCCCAGGATGTTCCCTGTTGGCCCCCAGACATCAATACTAGATACGTAATGAAAGCTCTTACGTCGACCTGCGGCAGCGAGGTGAAGAATGTTCCTTGTGCCAACGACGTTTGTCGTGCGGTGCTCTCGGTATGACTCGCAAAAGTTGACCTTGGCTCCAAGGTGGAAGACCACTGATGCCCAGTTTGAAAGCCACGTAAACTTGTCCTGTCCGAGGCCGAGATGCCAATCGGTGAGGTCGCCTTCAAGTACGATGATCTTCTGCGTGAATTCAAGCTTGTCAGGCCAGACGTCGTATCGTTCAAGAGCCTGCTGAACCCGAGCCCAGGCACTAACGTCTTCCCTGCTACGCGCGAGGCATGCAATCTGCTTCACTCCTGGTCGCTGCATCAAGTTAGACAGAAGGTGCGCACCCACGAACCCGGTCACACCGGTGATGAACACACGACCCTCGCCCTCGGCCTCCCATCGAGGCACCATGTCAATGTCATCAACAAGAAGCACATCTTGCTTCCAGACCCGCGTATCGTCAGGTGCCTTGCTTTGTCGAGGCTCGCTAGGCTGGATCAATTCCAGCATTTGGTTGAATTGAGAGTGACCGTGGAGATCGTGCATTGAAACCTGAACGTCAAATTCTTGGCGCATCTTGCTAATCAACGAGGCAGCCTGCAGTGAGCTGGCGCCTAGAGAGAAGAAGTCGTCATCATCAGACACCTCTTTGGAAAGATGCAACAGGTTTGTCCACAGAATCCGAAGTTTTTCTGCTTTGTCATGTGGCCCTTCATTGTTGGGGGCTGTGCTGTCGGTCTTATCCTCCTTTTGCTTCTCCTGCAAGGCATCTAAACGCTGCTGGGTCAAAGCTTTACGGTCCACTTTGCCATTAGGCGTTAGTGGAAAATCGCTCAAGAACTCAATAGCGTTAGGAACCATGTAATGGGGAAGGTGCTCTCGAGCGTAGTCCATGAGTGATTCCTCGTCCAGATCTATAGCCGACACAAAGGCAACCAAGGCATGGCCTTCTTCCTCTGTCAAAGGTGGCTGATGTATAAGAACTGCCGAGTGAACCGCATCGTGAGACATGAGCGTTCGCTCAATCTCGCCAAGTTCGACCCGAAAGCCTTCATGCTTGACCTGGGAGTCGGCCCGGCCAATGAAATCCAGGCAATCGCTGTTGTCGCGCCACTCAGCCAAGTCTCCAGTTTTGTACAGACGCACCGTGCCTTCGCCAAGGCCCAAGTCCTCTCTGCCCAAATCCACAAACCGCTCTTCGTTCTGCTCTTCTCGGTTCAAGTATCCGGGCGTCAATTGTGGTCCGCCAAGGTAAATCTCCCCTTGCTTGGCGCTCTCATGCACGGGTTGTTGATCTTCGTCAAGTAAGACGAGCTCCAAATCCCCCACTGCCTTACCGATGCCAATGCGGTCTCTGCCGGTTTCTTCAAGTGTGATCTCCTGCATAGTAGCCAGAGTCGCACACTCGGTTGGCCCATAGGCATTCCAAAGATGCCCAGGAGCGCCTTTCTCCAGCACATTTCTCATGGCTCGCACATTTGCCACATCCCCTGCGGTAATGACATGTCGCAGAGTCGAAAATGCTGTTGGGTCTTGAGTACTAGTGATAGTAAATAGGGCAGTCGTGATGATCATCACGGTCAGCCGGTGTTTCGAGATCATTTCAGCCAATGTATCCGCGCTGATGGCCGAGTCTCGCGGGATAGCGACCACAGTAGCACCTGAGATCAAGGTTACCCAGATTTCATACAAGCTCAGGTCAAATCCCGGGTTGTTGAATTCGGCAACACGGTCACTCTTCAGCAAGGGGGTCGTTGGTGTTTTGTTGGCAAGATGCAGGATGGCGTCGGCGAGGATCTGAACTGGTTTGGGTTTTCCAGTCGACCCAGACGTGAAGAGAATGTGGCTGCGTTTGGACGGGTCCTTGAACCCCTTGGGAAGCTTCTCATCGAGCGTCTTTCCGCCGGTCACTTTTGGAATCTGGATGAGCTTTCGGCCTGGCCAATCCAGCGAGGAGTCCTCGCCGATTAGGATAGTCTTGACCTCGATTTCCCCCAAAAGGTCCTTGATGCGCTGTTCTGGGATTGATGGCTCAAGTGGGACACAGGTTCCACCAGCCAACCGCACCGCCAGCTGGGCAACAACCTGGTCGATACCAGGGCCTAGCACGATACCCACAGGCTCGTCAATGTCAAGGTCTCCCAGCTCGTACGCCAGATGACCTGCTTCTCCGAGCATCTCGGCGTAGGTCAGGGACATTTGTTCGTCTTCGACGGCGACAGCATCCGGATTCTCTTGGGCGTGGCCGTAAATAATTTTCTCCATGATGAATTTGTTAGTGGCTTGAGGTTTAGTGATATTGTAGTAAATGTATGCTCGCTGATTGTTTCTGGTTTCTATAATCTTGCGCCTTCGTCGATGATTGTGCTGCTTTCCTCGCTTTCAAAGCCCTTGACGCGGCTTTATATCCTCGAGCCTGGTCATTATCCCCATACCGAAAGTCACACTCGACGATTCTGTTCAGATCGACGCAGCACGATTTCATACCATGACGTATGTGACCTTATGGTTAACCTGCTATCTCGCTGTCTGGTTCTTCACATCTTCGGTAATTGAGGCCTGGAGGGCCACACTTGAAGATAAGAGACGTCATTTAATGCCTGAAATGTTCGTGAGCATGAACTCTAAAGCAGACTGTAAATAATGACATCTGACAACCTGCTTTCTCTACTGCAGGGCATATCTTGACTGGATGGCTGATTGCACCGACGAGACTGTCAATGAGATGTCAAACCAGCCTGTCGGGACTCATCGTTGTTTTACCGCAAATAGCGGTCGCTTCAGCTGGTCGTGACGCTACACCACAGGTGACCTGCTGAGAAGCCTCCGCGGGCCAGGTATCCGATGAACGACCACCCCTTTTCCGATTACCCTTGCAGAGAAGGGTAGAACAAGAAATCGCTCACATGACTTAGATTGGTCCTTTCGAACCACACTCTGCACCGGCAAGTACACAAACAGGGAAGGTGGTAACGGCTGAGTCCTTACAATCAGTAAGGGGGTGTGGCACAGACATTCTCGTGTAGGCTGATGTCATTCCACAATCAACACAGCTTCCAAGCTGTGAAGAATTCTGAAGAAACGAGATTTTGAACATGATTTGATGTGATTCGTGGGTTTTCCAAGCGCTGTAGCTTGTTGGCAATCTGTCAACCTTATCCTGACGCACTTCCCGCCGATCCTCGCCACCAGGGTCTAATGCTGTTCTGGTCGCAAAGTTTGGATGACTTCAGTCATTTGCAAATGGGAGTGAATGTGCTTGATAGGCAGAAAATCAGGTTGTCGTTGATGTCGAAGATTACCCGGGTTGAAGTAGGTGCGGCATAAGGTCCTCCCTCCACTGGCGGCAAAACTACATAAACCCGCTCAATCTCCTGGTGGGCTGTAAAATGACAAACAAAGAAATCGTTTGCTGTGAACACTGGAACCATTGCTTCCAGCTTGAATACCATTGAACATGTCCGGCGAGAAGATCCTCAATTGCAAGCTCCAAACTCAGTTGGAGCAGCGTGAGCGCCAAAAGCGCCTCATGCAGCCCCCCAGCCCCGGGATGGTCAACCAACTTGTCGACTTCGGGTCCAACGACACCCTATCCATCGCGACCTCGCGGGCGCTGACCAAGGGCTTCCGGGAGCAACTGGACGCGCACCCCAACTTCATCGTGGGCAGCACCTCGACCCGCATTTTCGAGGGCACAAAGCACTACCTGGACGACATCGAGCGAGACCTGGCCCGCTTCCACAAGGCGGAGGCGGGCCTGTTCTTCAATTCCGGCTTCGACGCCAACGTCGCCCTGTGGTCGATCGTCCCGCGTCCGGATGACGTGGTCGTGCATGACGAGTACATCCACGCCAGCATCCACGACGGGATGCAGCGCGGTCGCGCACAGACTCGGTCGTTCGCGCACAACGACCTGAAAGAATTCCGGCGTGTCCTCGAGGACCTCCGCGATAACCAGAAGGGGTCCAGGGACGGTAAGAGCGTGATCTTTGTGGCGGTCGAGTCGTTCTACAGCATGGACGGCGATGTGGTCCCCATCCAGGAGATGCTGCGCATCTCCCGGGAGGTGCTCCCGCAGGGCAATGTGGTGTATGCCATGGATGAGGCCCACTCGAACGGGTTGATCGGACGGGATGGATCTGGGCTGGTGTGTCATTACGGACTGGAGAAGGAGATTGGGATCCGGGTGCATACTTGCGGCAAGGGGATGGGGTCGACGGGAGGTAGGTTGCCTTTTGATTTGATCACTTGGAGAGTCCCACTGACTGGTCCGTGGTAGCCGTTGTCCTGTGCTCGGAAACCATGCGCCTGTCCATGATCAACTATGCTCGCAATATCGTGTTTTCGACGGCGCCGTCGTTCGTCACCGTCGCGGCTGTGCGCGCGGGCTACGAGTTGGCCGCAAGCGAGGAGGGCGAGCAGGTGAGTCGATCGCCGCGGTCGTCTCTACCATCAGTACTAACAAGTTCAGCGCCGCCGTCGATTGCAGGACAATACGCGCTACTTCGAGCGCGTGGTCACCCAACACAAACAATGGGCCGAAGTCAGCAAGCAGGGTGTTATTCGGATTCCCGGATCAGAGGACTGGGGATCAGGTCCTTTCGAAACACCCATCTTTGCCTTAATCACCCCTGGCGGCGAGGAGAATGAGCTCGCGGACCATATCCGGGGGAATGGGTATTGGGTCGACTCGGTGCATTATCCGATTGTGCCAAAGGAGCTGGGACGGGTCCGGCTCACGGTGCATGCGGATAACACCAAGGAGCAGATCGAGGGCGTGGTCGGGGTGTTTATGGAGTGGGCGGGGGCTAGAGTTAAGAAGGAGGGGAGGAGGGCCAAGTTGTAGGTTGTATGTCTTCGTTCTGGTCTATTGTCAATTGATGTGAGTAGTCCTGTTGCTTGTGCCTTGTCTGCTTTTTGTCTTTCTAGTCTGGGTTATGTTAATATACTGTATGTCATTCCTGGACTATGGTTGTTAGTTGGGAAGGGGCTTTTCTACCCAGCCCGCTAGGTCTTCTGTTAGACTTTTGGAATAGGCCTTATGATAGAGGGAAATGCTTGGTTAGATACAACATGAATTGAATGTGTGAGTACAGGGATAATCATGAGGCAAGAGTTGTCACGTGGTGATTGACCAGAATAGTGTTGCTTCAGTGGAGTCAGGTGACTGCATAAACATACCTTGGGCATGACACTTTTATAGTGCACCATGGTTCAGCTTTGTAGTCTGTACCAAGCCACGACCATGTTAATTGGATTTTGAGGTAAGATTTCAGCCCTATAGACAGTATCAACATCTCCTAAGACGATCTAACCATGCAATTGCTGCCAGGCTGTCACTCCAATGGTAATCGCGAAGTGGAGCCGCTCTTTTGCCCCAGTGGAGGTCTTCGGTACAAGTGGGTCTTTTGCGCAGCAAAACAAACAAAGTTCTCCACTGCACTTTTTAGGGGCCTGTTCCCAGAGAATTCTGCCTAAAATTATCACATGAAATGTTGAGGCCCCGATACAATTGAGCTGAAACCCGCGTGCGCCGACCAATCCAAACCCGTCGAATGAATCTTTGCAAAGCGCGCTCTCCACCAGCCTATCCGACCTAGAGCAACTAGGGCATCCCCACTCCAGAATCATCATGCCCACCTCCAGCCCCTAAAAGCTTGAATCACCCCAGCGCCGTCTTCGGGTCCCAAATAACCCTACACGCAACCTGTCCCGGATCAAAAAAGCCGCCATGACAGCCAAAAAACGAGCGGAGGTGGAGTCCCTCCCTAAAGTCCTCCTCCCACTCTACCACCGCATTTACTGCTTTCTGTGGCTCTGGGGTCTCAAGCTCATCGCCACAGTCCACACCATCTACAAGGACCTCATCCACCCGCCCCCGCCCAGCACACAGCCAACCCTAACCCTACAACTCCCATCGCGCCCGACCCTGCAAACCCGCATCTTCTACCCGCCAACCTACAAGCCGGGCCAACCGACCCTCCTGCCCACATACATCAACCTGCACGGCGGGGGCTTCGCCGTGAACACGGCGCGGTTCGACGACGCCTTCTGCGCCTCCTGGAGCCAGCGCACGGGCATGCTGGTCCTGAGCCTGGACTACCGCAAGATCCCGCGGCACCCGTTCCCGACAGCGATCCACGACGTGGAGGCGCAGATCCGCGACCTGCTGGCAAACCCCGCCCTCCCCGTCGACCCCACCCGCTTGGTGATTGGCGGCTTCAGCGCGGGCGCCAGCCTGGCGCTCGGCGTCGCGCAGCTGCCCTCCCTGCGCGGAAAGTTCCGGGCTGCGATTTGTTATTACCCCATCGTGGACTTCAGCCACTCCCCGCCGGATAAGATGCACGCCCGGCCGTACGAGGACTACTGGCGCGACCATCTGGGCGATGCCGGCTGGTGGATCGATTGGGGCTATGTCTGTGCCGGCCAGGATCGCAGGGATCCCCTCCTCAGTCCCTGGTATGCCCCCGCCGAGGATCTGCCGGACATGGTGTATATGGTTGCCGCGGAGTTTGATTTGTTGCGCGTCGAGGCGCAGGAGATGATTCATCGGTTGGCGGGGTTGGAGGGCCGAAAGGATAAGGAGGAGGGGTTCGAGGTCGGCGGGTATAAGTGGACTATGGCTAAGGGGTGTAGGCATGGGTTTACGCATGGGAGGTCGAGGGGGAGGAGGTCCAGGAGGGAGAGGGTCAGGGAGGAGATTTGGGAGGAGGCGAGGGGGTGGTTGGAGAGGGGTGGGGTTTTGGGCTAGGGTGAGGTGTTGGGGGTGGATGGAGGTGTTTATGGAGATTCTTGCGGTGGGATGTGATGTCGATATGGACTGCATATAGGTTGTATATAGATGGATATAGATGGGATATAGATTTAGAGGTACTTGGATATAGACTCCGCTGCTGTTGAATATTGACTGCTGGTGGATGAGAGAGAGCGATTTCATGCTATTTTGCTGGCAAAAGGTAGAATGACGTGGCTATGCTTTGTTCTGTGGGTGTTGAGACAGACTCTTCAGATTCTCTTCGATGTCAACGCATCTGGGTTTCAGTGATTATGATTCGAGGAGTTGTATGGTGATACTGTTGGAACATCCAGATACCGGCCTGTACTAACCAGGCCCCAATGCGGCTAGAGTGTGGCTGGTGCAGAAGAGCGCGGAGTGGACACGCAGGGCTCATCCAATAATCGTACCGAATGGTACCGGTTGCCCGTCTTTGTTCTTGGAGTGCTTCAATATTCTTTCGTAACCCCGGCAACCCTTCTCTTGTGTGATAAGTGATCCGCACACTCACATTGATATAGACTGTGGGAAATGCTATATTGGGAGTAGGGAGCATTCTTACGTGGGACATAGCTGCTTGCATGCGGATCAAGTTTCTCTCTCTTGTCATATCACGTGACCTGTGGTTCGATGGCAAGCCGCAGTGTCATTCTGTTGTACAGAATGTTCTGGGGCAGCTTTTGGGAAGGTAGATAGCCACAGGCGCCGTGATCGTAGGCCAAGCCTCCATAAGCCTCCATAATGAGTCCTCTGACGTAGCCATCCCACGCCAGCCAACCAGGTGATGCTGAGCCTGATGAGGCTGTGCAATCTCACCCTCCGTCTTGCGCCCCAGGCAGCATGATTCCTACATAAGAATGGACTTCTACCATCATACAGAAGCATCGCGTTCTAGACATTCTAAGAGCGTATCTGTGCCGAAGTCTTATTTTCAACAATCTCAAGCGCCCCAGCAAGTCCCGGAATGGCTCCAAAGCAACCCTACGAGGCAGCCCCGCCCTACCAAGAAGTATGCCCCCACCGCGCCATCACCCCTGCCAAGCTGACATCACCAACTTTAACCCCCGCAGTACTCGGAAGTCGCACAAACAGACCAGGATGACCTGGAATCGCAACCGTCACCCTCCCACCGCCACGGAGACACCGATCCAACATCCAATATCCCTCTGGTCACCTCGGTGATTACCACGCCCCATGAGCACTGCGAGGTCTGCGAGCGGATCATCTCCCGACGAGAGCAGAGGCAGAACCAGTTACAATGTTGTGGGATGGTTGGGATTGTCTTTGTGATGCTGTTTATCTGTTTGACCATTCTCGGGGCGGTGTTTGCGAGGGTGAGGGCGCATGATGATTGAGAAGACTGTTGTATGAGACACCAGTTGGTGTTATGGAGTTGGTATGGACGAGTTGGAAAGATGTTACGAGCCTCTAGTTTTGGTGCTGATCGAGAATTGAACACAATGCGCGGGAATAGTGATAGACTGCTTGACCCATGGCAAAGACGGCAGCTAGTCCAGGTACCTGCGAATGTTCGCAAGATTGAATATAGCCGACACACCGTACCGTGCCGCCTCGTTCGTCGTCATCCAGGGCGCCTCCTCACCGTCGGAGAAATAGGTTGGCGCCGCTGTCGGCGTCACTTTCCACTGGTGGTCTTTGGTATATCCGTCCGTCGCGAGGAACTGTTGCCAAGCTGCGCGGGCTAATTCGGCGTTACTACCGCGTCTTGCCGCGAATGCAGTCAGTGTAGAGTGACTCTGTCGCCATGTGGCTGTAGCAGGGAACTCGAAGCCGTACTCCTCGCGCTGAACATCCGCTCCGCCGTTGTAAGCCCGGCAATAAGCAAGGTAGACCTTCAGGAACGCGTCCACTGTGCCGGGATGTTCACTTTCAGCATAGTCGACGAGTTCCGATACTAGTTCCGGGAAGCCGAACAACATCGACAAATGGGAGATGGCATACGGTCGCGTGGGAGGCGGACATGTGTGCACTTCTCCGGTTTTAGTGTGGAGTAGGACTGCCTTCGTAGCGATTCCATATTTTAAGTTTGCGATGCCCTCAAGAATGTTGAACAGACGATCTCGACCCTCGGACCATCCTGGCTCCCGTCTCTCCCATGCGGTAAACCACGACGCCGCTAACGCGCCCCCATCAAGACAGATATCCGTCAGGGCAAACCCTTCTGGAATGGCACCGTGCTGCTGGACTTTCCTATGAGCGTCGAGCCCCAGCAGCGCATGCTGGCTGTCCTGAAGCTCAGTGATCAGATCTCCCGTTCGCTCGTCCCCGGTCAAAAAGTAGTAGAACCGTCGATACAGTACGTTGGAGATCCGGAGCTGTTTGCAACTGTCGCTGAAATGCTGCACCCCATGACGCGTTCCGAAACCCTTGAAGCGGCCGGAATGGTACACGTCTACCTCGCTCGTATGTCGCGTCATGGCCTCGGCCATCCGAAAGACATCCGCCCGCCCGGAATGCAGGAAATACAGCCACAGCCATAGATCCGTGGAGAGTTCACTGTTGTCCCAGGCAAAACCCCCGACGTCGTAGCGCCACGCGTGTCGGTAGGGGTCATACGTGTGCTGCACGTCGCCGTAGTCCCAGAAGCCGTACCAGCGGTGTTGCTCGACCTGGCGCTGGTAGTGGGTGAATAAGGTATCAAGGTTGTGTTCGATGTTCAGTTCAGTGGCTGTGGGATTGAGGCCAAGGAGGCGAGTGTCCGGGGCCCATGTGCCATGAAACACCCCAGCATTGTATATGGTCTCTGGGGTGGGGATCAAGCGAGGGGGGGCACGGACTAGAGCTGAAAATGCGCTTAGGTCGTTGTCGGATGGGGTTCCGTTGCTGTATGGTCGAAGGAAGAAGACTGTCGTGCGGCCGATCCCATTGGCTGTACCGAAGCCGGGCTCGTAATCCTCGTATGTGGCTTTGAGGCCCTTGAGTTGTTTCTCGTAGGTGTCCAGACCGAGTCCGTCGTGGTATGGACGGGTATCCAGGGGCTGTGCCAGGGGTGAATACACCCATATCGTGGTTGATGCTTCGTCCGTGGCCAAGTTGTTGAGGTCGATTTGGGTGGGGTATTGCTCCCAAAAATTGGTCATACCCACTGCCAGGCCCCCGCGCTGTGCGGAGCCAATGTATGCAGTGCCGGAGTATCTACTCCCCCCTGTCACCTTTACCCATGAACAGCCTTCATTCGTTCGCTTCTTTAGTGTGAACCCGTCGGAAGATAACTGACTGAGGGTATAGTCGTTCCAGGAGGGAACATAAGATAGCCATGGCGTATCTGTAAGGGTAATGGCTCTGCCTGAGGCCTGGTCGGCGCGATTCTGCACGCCCGGGCCATGCCACAACCCTGATAGGCCTTGGACTTCTTCCCTCAGAATCCCTCCTGTGGGACCTACGAAACGAATGTGACGGTTGTAGTGTTCAGTATCGCGAAATGGTACCGAGAATCTGAGACCGAGGGAGGTCAACGGTTCCTCTGAGTCAAGGTCATGGATGAATGAGAACACGATTTTGAGCGGCTGCGCATCGGAGTAGATGTATACTCGCACATCGAATGGTAGATGCTCTTTCCCCTCATTTCCCACTGTTCCAGAGACTTTGACAACTGCTCTCGACCAGGTTACGTTCTCAATGACGGTCTTGTGTACGACTGTTGTATACTCTTGGTTGTTGATCGACGCGACGACAGTAGCGGCGGAGCACACCTGTTGTCCATCCAGAGAAATGTTCTCAAATAATGTCGCAGAACCCTGAGTTGGGAATCGCACACTTGATCCGATCTTTGTGGAGACAATAATATGCTCAGGAGTTGTCTTAACCTGTATCCGAGATTCTATCTCCTGCTCGGTCGCAGCCCTCACGGTATACCCGCTACTATAGCCGACATGACCACTGATGGAATGTGCCGTCCATTTCAGAGATCCGTCCGCCCAGTATGCCAGCTCGCGGCTATCGAGCGGATAGGTTTTGTTGTTTGTCTCGATTGAAAAGTTCTGGTTTGGCTGGTATCGGCCTCTAGGCCATGGCATGGTTAACGAGAGCCCCGTTGCTGGAGCGTCCGGGTTATCGCCGGTTAACCATCGGAGATTCGGCGCGGGCATGGCGTGCTTTTGGTGCGGGGCACGCAATACTAAGATTGGCGGTAAATCAATTGAGAAGAAGTGGGACGTGGGAGGTGAAAGAGAAAGGGGAGTAGAAGAAGAGGCAAGTGGTTTAAGTAGTTGACGACTGGGAGGATGGTGGTACCCGCTAGTTTGGGCTGTGAGAAGTAACCCGTGATTTTTTGTTGTATGGTTGCATAATATACACTCAGACATAATGCAGTAGAAATTCATGCAAGAGTCAATCATTCAATCTACATTCAGTAGAGCTCTTTTGGTCATCACTTCTTAGGACTGATTTCTCTTTTGCGTTGACTTTCTCAAAGCTGTTCGACTCACTTGGAATTGGGCAAATAGTCCCCTCGCGACTATACTATCGAATCCTAGCAGTCGAAGATTCTCTAAGACAAACACTTGAGACCATAATCAATACAAGGAGAGTTGGATACTTGTCTCGCATACCCTGAAAGCCTTTCGTAAGTCGGCTGCTTCCTGCAGCCACATGTAGAAGTTGCAGGTTGGCTGGTTTGGCACGATATAGACTAGAATGACTTACAGTCTAACTTCAATAGACTAAACATATAATTCACAAGGTATTGCAGATGGAAGCTGTGACAAGAATGAAGATGATATTTGCGTGATGTTGGCGTTCTGTGACCTGATCACATGATGCGTAGCTTTTCGCCTTCCTACCGAATTTGTTTTATCTCCCACAAGCATCACAACACCAGCTCGACTAATAATTCCAAAACCACTCTTACAAACTTACGACCACCATGATACGAGCATACCATCAGGGATCAAGTCTAGTCTTGAAGTGTCACCTCGATCCGAATCCTTAGTGCTATAGTCTATCTCATTCCAGCATCTTCCTGGCCTTAAGCTTGTTGGCAATCTCTTTGACAATAGCTGGGAATTGGTCTGGTGGCTTTCCCTGGCTCTTCTCCACGGCCTTTTCAAACACATTCCACACCTCGATATATTTATTGCCACTACTCTGAGTTGTACCAATGGCAGTAAATGCTTCACGCATGCGCTCATGACGTTGGAGGCCCTCGAAGTGGTCCACCTTGCCGGATTGGTTGACAGCTTGTGTCTGCACAAAGCTGAGTTCCACGCAATAGAGAATCAGCGCTGCTAACCCAGATGCGATAGCAGTTGCAACCGAAGACCCCGTCAAGGTCTGGCATTTGTCGATCGGTGCGTCGTTGGGTCGCTCTTTCACCACTTTGTGGCCGGGAAAAATGAAGTCGACCGCCGCCGCATCTCCCACCCACTTCCATACCGCGCCAGAAGCCTCCGCAGCACCGATCTTGAAGATGTTCTTGGTATTGGCACAAGCAGCAGGGAAGCTGACATCCAACGCTGCCCCTTGATCGTTCGCCGCACAGAACATCAGGATGCCTGCGTTAGCAGCGGCTCCGATCGCAGCTTCCAAATCTCGAATGTCGGCCGCATTCTGCTCGTTGCGCTCGATCGTCCACGACATGGAAATAATATGAACTTGTCGGTCGATCGCGGTGCGAACAGCCTTAGCTGCACTCTTGGCTGTGATCTGGCGGGTTGAATTCTCGCTGACATGCTCAGCCAGCTTCACTACAAACAACTTTGCAGTGGGACACACCCGGCAGATGAGGCTTGCCATGACGGTCCCATGTCCACTGCCGGACACATAGAAAGACCGCTGCAGGTTCTGTGCATAATCCCTTGGGCAGAAACTACGACCGCCGATAATCTTACCGCGCAGCGTCTTTTCCTCAATGTCAACACCATCGTCGATCAACGCCACGCGCACGTCTTCTTTCCATCCAGTCGGGGGTCGAATATTCTGAATGAAGTCCGCGAAGTTGTCCATGCACGTCAACCAACGGTGACGATGCTCGACTTGTTGTTCGCGAACTCCCTCGACTGAAGACCCTGTTAGATTAGTTGATCTTTCTGGCCGATGCTCTTCCATCTTGATGTGAATATCTGGTCGTAGTGCGGCCAGCCTGCTGCGGAATTGATTCACATTTCGCTTGGTCCGCTCAGCCGTTTCAAGACCCTATGAATGTTAAGCTTCAACCCATCGATCAATCTATGATCCCTACGTACCTGGCTAATATGCAGGTGTACGGTCCGCAAGCTTTTCAGTTGTGCCAGGCCGCCGTGATCGCTCCATCCACGCAGCACCGCGTTGTTCCCACTCCAGTACAAATACACCTCCCGAACATCCAGCGCCACACTAATGATAGTGTCAATGGAGATGTCAATCTTGCGCCAGTCCCACACCTCGACCCGAAAGCCTCCCAGTGCCTGTTCGATTGCCTCATCGCTGTGCGCGGGAGAGGTCGTGTCATCCACAATAACTCGTAGAATTCGTGATACTCCCTTCTTTCGCAAAAAGTCGAACATAAATACCATATCGCGCCGGCCCTCACCATCTGGCAGCAAGCTCCTCACCCGGGCGAATCGCGAATCGACTGATTGCACCTTTTTCGTCAATTCGAAATGCGGAAGCGCGACATATTGCAATGTGTCTTCAAAGCATAGGTACTCTAGTCCACGGCTGATCCAGTCCTGGTCGATGTATCGTGATGAAGATTCGTACAGGTCAAAGTATAGATCTCTGGCTGGGGTTTGTTCAGCATACTACTACTTCTCTATCGGAGCGTACGAAAGCATTATACTCACGTCGGTCTCGTCCATATAGCAGTTCGATCGCTTGGTCGTGATCCCGCGTCCTCAGATAGTGAACCTTTAGATGATCTCGGATTGCATCTGCGGTCTGTTTCGTGACAACCATGTCCTCACTTGCTTTCTTTGTGGATTTCTTCCTTGACTCATTAGCCGTACTGTTCGCAAACTTGACAGATTTGTCCATAGTAAGAGGTTTGTCGTGCACTGCCAAAGCTGTTACAAATGCCAAGTCTCCTATGGACCCTGATTGAGCCTTGGGTGAAGTATAAAGCTCATTCAAGGTATTACTTCGTCGGGGCACCCCTAGTCGGTTATCGGATGAGGGTTTGTGATCTGAGCCAGGCAAGCTCATCGGTGCAAGGCTAGGAGGAAGCATGACATTGTCCCTGGCCGCACTGCCCTTACTGACTGGCAGACCAACATCCTTCATGCCTTGGGGCTGTTGCTGCTCCACATGTTTTCGTCGAGACATCTTGGCCTCCGCTTCCGTCCTGGTATACAGATGATAACGATAAGGAGAGAGTCGATTTGTGGTACTGGTTTGCGCATCCAGTGCCTTATCACAGCGATCAATCAATGCTTTAACAACGCTCAGCCCTGCGTCGGTACATCGTTCGTATGCAACTGCCAGGTGCAGAGCGGTATTGCCTTTGTCGTCCAAGGCTAACAAAGCCTCCAAACTGGCCTTGTTGATGAGTTCGAGGATAAGAGCTGGCGCTGCCTCTTCGTGAATAGCCACATGCAGGCAATTCCGCGCATGCAACCCTTGAACAGCGATGACTTGGTTGATTTGTGGATGATTAGCACAAATACACCGCACAAGGCTAATGCGCTTCTTCTGGATAGCCCAGGACAGAACGGTCCGTTCAGAGTGGTCTTTCTTGGCCAGCAGCACAGGATATCGCCGCACCAGATGCTCAACTAACGGCTCATACCGACTAAAACGCTTGTCTCGAGCGCCTTCCACGAGGTAGTGCAATAAGGTTCCGTACTCGACAACTTCATCCAGAATATCTTCATTTTCCCGCAAGAAGCGATGAAACCGATCGCGGTCGGTCAAGGAGATGGTCTTCTCCCGCAAACTATCTCGAATATTCTCAAAACGGCGCTTGACGCTCGTTGAGGGCTCTGCTTCGGAATCATCTTCAGAGTCATCATCGCCTTCGGAATCGGTCCGGGGGTTTTCTGATTTGGACTTGGGGTGGTCGTCCGTCGGAGAAGCCACGATGAAAGGTTCGTCATCCAGTGACGAGGTGGGCGGGCTTACCGTCAACATTCTATGAGATATATACCGGGCTGGAGGACAATACGCACCATTAGAAACAAGAGCTCTGAAATCGAATCTTTCTCGACCGACGACGGTCATCATACGACCCCGTTTCCCTGCAGGGTGGCGAAATCGGCGGCTGAAGTGCGTGGGAAATACACTGCGCGTGGTAATAACTACGGGCCGCGGCAGGACACTTCGTTATTGGAACATGCGAACAATTGTTGTCTGTGCCAATCAAATCCTATAGTCACTGTTCGCACATGCGCCTGTGAGATTTGGGGGGTTGATTTCAAGTTTTCAATCCACTTGAGCAGACTAAGTATCCAACCTGCATATCTTCTGACCATTCCTCGTGTTTGATGTGGTTTGATTGGCTAAGACAGAGACTAGTGCTTAGGTGCGTCCTGCCAATGCCGCTGGTGCGTGACCCTGCACAACCCCTCCAAATCGACCTGGTCCAGATTATAGACATCAAATTCCCGCAGATTATTCGTCGGATCCAAAAGGGGGTCGAACAGGACTGGATCATCCTTGGGCACACGTCCTTTGCCTCCCCACAGCCGTTCCCGCCAGCCGCTGACAACATCGGCCGTAAGCTTCACCACGCACTCGAATGGCCGCTCATCGTCCCTTCGCAGCAAAATGGCTGTGCGCAGTAGAGATGGGACGCCACTCTCGGTGGACTTGTTCTCCAGCAGAGTCCAGGACGCACTGTTTGCCGGTCCCCAGTTCCGGCCCACCAAGTCCCTCGATCCTACCACAGTGCAATGGTCCTGCGTCTCGCGGCTGATAGTCTTCTCCCAGCCAAGTGTTCCGGTGATGCTCAGCCCTCCCACCGGTGCTGAGGCTCCTGCTTGGCCGGAAACCGATCGCTTGATGTCCTCTCGTTGGCTCGTGGGAACAAGGCTGAAGTTACCATCCGGAGCGATTTTATACACTTCAGGACCGTCCTCGCCTGCCTCCCGAGCCCTAAATTCGAGGGCGATCTGGACCCCTTCGATTCGCCGGGCGCGTTTCCGCACGTCAACCCGGAATTCAAGCACGAGCAGGGTTGCAAATCGATCGTCTCCACGCTCGCTCATTATGCCATGAATCACGTCGAGACAAGAACAGCGGATGTCGATTGTACCTTTACGCTCGATCACGTTGCTGCGCTGGTAAGGCGCACGCGGGTCATTCTGCACGCGAAACGAACTGCCTGCGTCTCCAGCAGGGGCCAGTCCGAGATCCCAGCTCAGCCCGCCCGAAGGAAAATAGGGGCTGTTATCGGCAGGTTCGAAATCCCCGTCGGTATTCTGGTCTTGCTCGATTGCTGTATCACCCATTCTCATGTAAGGTTTTTTGTATTTTCAAGGTGTTTCTGGTAAAAGTTGGGATTTGGCAAGATAAGAAGGAATTTAAGGGTGACTCCACGCTTCTTGGCAGAGCTGACATGCACCCCTTCTTTTCGGCCCAAATGCACTAAGGGAGGCACCGGCTAATTGCCAGCTTCCAGACACGCACCCACTTGAAACAGGGAAACTGCACAGAGTCTTGCTCACAACACCTGAGATCTCCTAGATTGTCGAGTTTCGCACATATTGGACAGTTAATCCTCAGCTGCCGACGTATCAGGCCTATTGCTGCTTTTATTGTCATGTCCGACCACGGGTCGATCGCCAGCTCTGACGATGAACAAAGCACGACATCTAGCTCGTCCACTTCAGGCTCAGAGTCGGACGATGAACGGCTAGAAAAGGACCCTGAAATAGAGACAGTCAAAGATCCTGAACAAGCTGCATCAACAGTGAGCGAGGAGGGTATAGACTCCCCAGATGTCAAATCGCCCATGTTAGCTCTTCTAGAGCCGACCGAGGGCCAGTATGAGTATGACTTCCCTGCCTTGTTAATCTTCTCGAACTTTGAACACTGACAAAATCACCTAGCATTGTCTTGGTTCACGGACTCCATGGAGATCAGCAAAATTCCTGGGCTAGTCCGACGGAAGAGGATGGCAAGCCAACCTGGCTGACCGAGGGTCTTGCTGGGAATCCACCAGTAGCACGAATCTACAGTTTCGGATATTCCTTAAAGCTAGACAGCCTCAACAAATCACCCATGGCTGCAATTCATGATCTAGCAGATTCATTGATTAATGAGCTTTTTCAGAAAGTGAAGGATGATCCAGAGGTCTGTGGTTGATTGCGGTTGATTTTCCGCTGGTCCACAACTGATCCGCCCCTAGGACCCATTCCGCCCTGTGGTGTTCATCACGCATGACATCGGGGGAATCATTGTCAAAGAGGCCTTGCGTATCGCACTGCTGGAAAAGATCAACTACACCTGGTTCACGATATATACTCGAGCTCTGGTAGAATTCCTGGGCCCAAAGCCGCAGCAGTCAGAAGCTGACATGCGTAGGTTTTCTTCGGATGTCCCCATCAATCCATATATGACGGCAACATGGCAAATCAGCTGCTCCCTCTCGTATTTCAAAATGGAGTTTCCTCTCACGATGTTCGTATGGAAGATATCACTGCTTTAGGTGAGGGCATTGAGGAGTTGAATTCGACCTTCGTGGGGTTGCAGGCCTCGCTGTCTGTGGAGATCATTAATATATATTCCAACCACAGTGCTGACCAGGTGCCTGGTCCTTTAACACGGACAGCGTCCATGTTTCTGCCTTTGGAATACTTACTAACTATCAGTAGATCTTTGACCAGATGACAGCAACCATTGGTCTGCCATACGAAATCCCCCTGGCGTCTTCCAAATCTCATGGTGACCTTTGCCGTCTTCGAAAGGAAGATGCCGTCTATCACAAGATTCAAGACCGTATTTCTGGGTCCGCAAAGGGTATGTCCAGCATGCACATCCTGGAATGTCTGTAGCATACTCAGCTTTTACAGAGTCCTTTTGCGAGGCGGTCAGATTTTCCGATTGGTGGTCGTACATGATACCCATGGCGCCCCCACTCTACCCAAGCAGATGGCTGTCGAGAGCATTCAACCCCTATGCTTGGATCACAAGCCATTCGACTCTGAAGGCCTGGTTGGTACCACGGCGCTCAGCCAGGGTATACCTTCATGGTTCAGTTGCATCTCATCTCGCAGGTGATCAGGTTCTGAGTCATGTGCGCGACAAGGTGAAATCTGACGACCCAAGCAAACACATGATTATCTACTTTCAGTTCGACAGCCGTGACGATCGCTTGGCAACATACACTGGCCTGCTCAAGTCACTTATCGCACAGCTGCTACGGCACAGCGCGAGTATGATGACGCCAATCAGCGCACTCCTTGAGCGCATGATCAATTTTCGTACCTGTACGGAGGCGGAGCTGTTGCAATGTTACCGACAGCTTGTCACTTACGCTGACGACAAGACCGTTTGGTGCATTATCACAAACGCGAAGGACTGTGGCTTGCCGCTTACACGATTCGTGGCTATAGTTGATGAACTGTTTACCGCCAATGAATGCTGCGCCAAATATGCCATTGTAACTCAGAACTTTGTGACGCATAACGCTTTGCGGCAGAGTCTCTCGGAATGGCCTACCATTGATCTTGATAACCCTTCCCACAGCATCCTTCACGAAACCCGCAAGGCAAACAGGGAGGCTGCGCTTCAAGATATTGTGCGACAGTACCCATTTCTCCGTGGTACTTCTCGGAGAACTCAAGAGACGACTCTTGATTCCAATAATGATTTGGACTGGGGTGAGTTTGTGCTTGGGCGTCTGAGACGTAGAAAGGGGCCTGTGAGCAGCAGCGAAGTGCAGGATGCGATCAATCTTCTGTCTTCAGATCTCCAAGCTAGGCAAAACGCCACTTCCAGCATTGTGGGCAGCCTCAGAGCGCAAGAGGAAAAGTGGGACTTGGCAGGGGAGATACTACTCTGGGTGAATCGGACATTGCGACCTTTGACAGTGTGGGAGCTGCGCCGCGCGATATCAATCTCCAGCGCCTCGCACGCTGAAACTGAAATATCACGCGAGACAATCAAGGAGCTGTTCGATGGCCTACTAGTGGTCAAGTATCAAGAGGTTCACTTGGCGCATCCTCAGCTCTCAAGGGCCCTTAAAGTTCTCGAGCCTAATTCTGGCTCCACGGTAGCTAGTACAAAGATTCTGATCGGCTGTTTGACATACCTTTCATCAATTGGATTCGAGAAGTGGAAAGAAGGGCCAAAGCGTTGGAGCACCCCTGAGCTGCAGGATGCTCGATTTTCGAACACAGAGTTCAACTTTGCGGACTATGCGGCACTTTACCTGGAACAACATTTTGGGTCGGTAGTGGTCACTGAGGCTATAAGGTCCCATGTAAAGAAGATCCTCACCGATCCCTTGGCTTATCGACGTATTGCTGTTGCTCGGTGGGCTGCATCAAATCTCTTCGAGCGACCCGACCGAAGCCACGCCTTGGTGTTGCCGTTCATGGTTGGCATGCGACTGCATACATGGGTATTGGAGAATCCAAGCTCATTTCCGGAGGAATACACCAACAATATGAACACATTAGTCTCGGCGGCCTGGGAGGCTGCGCGATACAGACAAAGGGATCAGCTGAAGGCGATACTGAGCCATTGCACCTTGAATGATGCGCAGAAGCATGACATTCTTTGGGCAGCCAACTGGTCCGCTGATGAAGAAGTCATCAATCTAGTGGTCTCGTATATCATTCGGTCAACTAGCTCCGGGTCGCCGTTCGAATGGCCCGACTTTATCCTCATTCGGGCTGCTACTCTGAACTCGACTCGCCTTCTAGCTAAGCTTCTCGATGCAGGCGCTGCACTTCACGGCACGTACGAGTACGAGGGAGATATCTACCTGCACTCAGCGGTTTTCTGGTCCGCCGCAGCGGGGTATCTGGACAGTCTCAAGTTCTTTCTTGGCAGAGGGGCCATCGCTGGCCGTCTCTATTCGAGGAGACGTCAATTGCTGCACATTGCCTCCGCGCATGGACACGTTGGAGCCGTGAGACTTCTGTTGGCCGCCGGGGCAGATATCAATGCCCTGGGCGGCGACGACGGGCAGTCAGCTTTATGTCGGGCCTGCCAATGGGGATATTACGATGTTGTTCAGGAGCTGGTAAAACACTCTGAGTTGGAACTGGACAAACACGGCGATGTACGCTGGACGCCTCTAGCAGCCGCCGCAGACCAAGGCTACGTCCAAAGCGTACGCCTGCTTCTCAAAAGCGGAGCGGACCCTAATGTCCTTGGGTCGGTCAATTGGAGCCCCTTGCAGTTCGCCATCAACAAGGGTCACGACCACATTACTAAGCTCCTACTCGA